GAGCAGTCTAGACACTGGTTTCTAATTCTTAATAAGATAAAAATATAACAAAAACAGTTATAAGTTTAATCAGTCATAAATATCAATAAATATCATAAATAAATGCTCCAGAGCGAGAAAACAATACAGGGACCCCCCCCCCCCCCCCCCCCCCCCCCCCCCCCCCCCCCCCCCCCCCCCCCAAATTGACGTTAATCGTCGTATGTAAACATGGAGAAAGTTGTAGTATTCGTAGTAAATGATATAGGTCACTTGGTCAGGTCATAAATATATATAAAATCGGGGTTATCATTAACCTGGTAATGGTTTTGAGTTGAAAGGTTCACAACTGGTTCGCTCTGGTTATGGTTTATGGAACTAAAATGGTCAAGGTTCCGTGAGCTGTAAACTGTCAGAATCGTCTGCAACAGCGTATTTATACTTCGGAAGTCCGCGGACACAGAAAGTGTGTCCGTTACTATAGGTGTAAGTGTGTCCGGCAAATTAACGTAGTGATTGGTTGTAAAATCACATGTACATGATAAGGGGTTCTGGAAACTTGGCCATTTCTGTCAATTTTGATTGGTCTTGATAACCGGACGTTCCTACGGCAATATGGTAAATGGCGCAAATACAAATAGAAATGCACAACTGTCGAGGGAAAAAGGGAGATATGGGTTTATCAAAGATAAACCTTAGGAAAAACATACCCTAGTTACAATATAGACCCTTAACGTAAATCGAGCAAGCAGGTGAGAAAACGAGACAAGCGATATACAGGTCAAACTAAAGCTGGGAACATGTCAAGGTACCCTCCTGGTCAAACAGTGAGAACGAACCCTGTCCTTATCATATTTTCCATTAACAATAATATAATATATACAGTACAGTATAATACGGCCGTGATACCTGAAATGGAAAGTGTTCATATGCACAGACCTTTCGTTCATAATATATACGCAACAGTGCAGCTCAGAGTAGCGGAATGCAAAAATAAAAGTGAAAGTAGAAATGAACTCTCTGAGAAACACAAGAAAAGAATGAAATATGATACATATAAACCTACTAGCCTTAACTCCTACCCTTAGGCATAACACTCCCCCACCAGGGTAAAAAGGGTTCGTCCTCGAACTAAAAATAAAAATAGGATACCTGCCTACCAAGCACTTACCTACCTTAAAAAATAAACCCTTACTCTTCTGTTAGTGCTGGCTGATCTGAAGTCCACATTTCCTTAAGTTCCAAAACGGTACCCTCGGATAGGTAACATCTGTCCTCCTTCATAATGGTTCTAACACACACAAGAACTAACTGTCTCTGGTACTTTGCCTTCTGAGAGGTTCTGCATAAGTTTACTTTCTCTTTTAAGGTGCTCGCTAATATATGATTGTTATATTGCGATGGGGCCCCAGCTAAAAATAATCTGGGGTCCAAGCATAGATGTTCATAATTATCTGTTGAAAGTGATAACGGTTTCATATTCCAAATATTTGTTGGTACAGTACAGTCTATTATAGATGTTTATAGTTAGTTTTGGGTTAAATTTAGTAGCAGGTTTAATATAAAGAAAGAAAAATGGCAGTTCCTTAATAGTTAGCTGTTTAGGAGATGCTGTAGATTCTTCTGTACTCGAAGTAGTGGTGAGGTCTAAAGTTGAAGCAGTGTCTGTTGGTTTCCTGGTCTTGGTTATGGTTATGGACAAATCTAAAATAATTGCTGAAGGTGATGGTTCTGCTGGTTCCTGAATATTGGTTACACATGGGGTAAGATCTAAGGACGATGGTTATACTGGTTCCTGAATATTAATTATAATTGTAGTAAAATCTAAAGGTGATGGTTCTGCGGGATCCTGAATGTTGGTATACTTGTTTTTAAATTTAAAGATGATGCATCTGCTGGTTTCTGAAAGTTGGTTTTACATGAGGTAAAATCTAAAGATGATTGTTCTGTTAGTTCAATGTCAATGGAAAAGGTATCAGGTGAATTTACATGTGAAAGGTATTTGGCGAAAAGTTGATCTGATGGAATGACAGCCTCAGGTGGTGGTTCCTCATTTAACAGCTGTCTCTGCGATGGAGGTCAGAAAAATCTGGCATGCTGGCGTCCAGAAATTCAGTAAGTTGTATAGTAGTTTCTGTGAGTATATTCAGCGGTCTGATCTCTAGGGTATATTCCTCCCTCCCACAAACGTAACTACTTCTTCCTGTCATCAGATTTGTGTATTTGTCAAGATATTTCTCGTGTTGGCTGACCCTGTACCCGTCACACTTTGGTTTTGAATATGGACACCACCGGCACTTTATAAACTCTTGACTGTGGGACCTCCTGATATGTCTTTGGAGGCTGTTTCTAACTGGAAAACGCTTCCCACAGTCATTGTATTGGTATAGATAGTTGTTGTCTGTTTTAAGTAAATCACTCATACTACAAAATATAAAATAAAAACTTTTTTTAACACACAGGACCTCTAAGGTTCTGGTAGGGAGTTATCCTATCCCTAGTTAAACTTATTATTTTAACAGCATCAATATATATACAGGAATATGAACATATATATATATTTATATATATAATTACATACAAGAAAACAAATGTCTGGTTGGTTTAACTTCTTCAAATAGAATATAAATGGGTTTTTAATGACGCATATCATGTTTACAACATGTTGTATAAATAAGTTAAATCACTGGTAATGTGAATTATTAAAAACAAGGTATACACCTTCATATATACACGTACAATGCACATATATGAATAATTAATCACTTTAAAAAAAATGCACCAACTTTGTATGGTGTTGATTTTCATTCGGTCACTGGTATCATGACTATCAGCTTTGTTTACACTATATGTGTATATAATTTAATTTTGGATGTAACGCGTCTGCTGATTGGCTGACGTTGTTTTGTTTATCAGCTCATAGACATAATTTAGTCATGTGACCGTGACGTCAGCAACGTTTTTTCATTGTTTACTCCGGTTTAAAATGGAATTTAGAATTAAATTATAAGAAATAACTGTAATATTTTATCTGTCTATTCGAAATAACATAAAAAATGTGATGCACACTTTAAAATAACCCGCTACGCGGGTTATTCAGTGTGCATCACATTTTTGATGTTATTTCTTCATAGACAGAAAAAATATTACAGTTATCCCTTAAATATAGCTCAAGTATAACTTTTGTTTTTTTTTTCTTTTGAGACATATCACACAAGAAATCTTTGGTATTCATAAATAAATGTTTCAATCGAAATTAAAGGTTCTCACTTCATTAATATTCAGGTAATTGAGCTACTAACAACAATGAATATAACAATAACACATTGAATATCACTCAAATTAATGGTAATACTAAACATATCTATAATGTAATAATATCAGTCATGGTCTGTCTGTGCTCTGTCTAATTAGTCCCCTACCGTCTGTCTGTCTGTCTGTCGTCTGTCTGTCCTTCTGTCAGTCCGGCAAATCAGTTTTCCACACTTTTTTTCTTCATGCTTGAAGATATTGATTTGATATTTTGTATATTGTTTTATCATGACAAGTTACAGATCAAGTTCGAATTTTGTTCCGGTCTGATAATTGTGTGCAGAGTTATGGTCCTTGGACTTGGAAAATTCACTCAAATATTCAGTTTTCCGCACTTTTTTTCGTCATGCTTAAAGCTATCGATTTGATAATTGGTATATAGTTATATCATGACAAGTTACAGACCAAGTTTGAATTTTGTTACGGTTTGATGATTTTTTGCAGAGTTATGGTCCTTGGACTTAGAAAATTCACTTAAATTATCAGTTTTCCGCACTTTTTTTCGTCATGCTTGAAGATATTGACTTGATATTTGTTATATAGTTTACACCATGACAAGTTATAGATCAAGTTAGCATTTTGTTCCAGTACAATTAATTTTTAACCGGTAGGGAACTATGTATTGCCATGCAATACTCTCAGAATGCTTGTTTATTCTTGACTCGATCGATCGAAGTCTGGTATTTTTGGCTTGTTCCCCTAATGGTTGATACCACCTTTTCATATTCCATTGAAAAGGTTCTAGTCTGTTCACATGAACAACTTTAAATTTGACTTTTGGACCTTCCTGAATTTTATATAAAACATCTGAAAGCACTTAAAAAACAGTAAAGGGGCCGTACCACAGCATTTGAAATTAAGTGAATGTCCTTTATATTTCCTGGGGTCAAGTAGGAGTACTTCGTCTCCTGCTTTAAATTTGGGAAAAGTACAAGATAGTTCATAACACCTCTTTTGTCGATAACTTGCACTATCAAGACGGTCTCTCAACACTTCATGGACCTTTTCTATTTGGTCGGTTAACTGATCAACATAGTTACAGTATGTTTGTTAGGTTAAATTCCACAAGCCCCCACAAAATTAAATCTATTGGCAGCCTTACTTCTCTGCCCATCATCATGAAACATGATCTTTCTCCCAAGGTTTCATGAACCGATGACCTATAAGTCATCGTAAGGTACGGAAAATATATGGTACCAGTCCTTTTGGTGTTTAGCAATAAATTTGCTAATCATGTCTTCAATGGTTCGATTTATTCTTTCCACCAATCATGAACTTTGGGGGTGAAATGGACTATTTCTGGTTTTGTCAATATTTAATTTCTTACACAATTGTATAAACAGGTCAAAGGTATATTGAGATCCCTGATCGGTATGTATTTGTAGGGGTAGACCATAACGGCATACAAATTCTTTTAACAGCTTATCTGCCACAGTTTTGGATTCAATTTCAAACTCAATATGCTTCTGCATATCAGGTAAAATAATCTGTCACTACAATAATATAGTTGTTGCCCTTATAGGTCCTGGTCACTGGACCCAAGATATCAATAGATCTTCTTTCTAAATGTTCCTCAACAACATAAGTCTTCATTTGTCATTTGGTATGATGGGAAGGTTGATTCTTTTTTTGACACTCAATGCAACGCTTACAAAACCTTTCTAGAAAATTGATATACCCTGCCCAATAAAACCTATGCCTAATTCTGGCAATAGTGCCACGCTGCCTCCCTGGTGCTAGAGTCGGCCACCAGAGAACACAGGGTCACAAAGAAAAAGAGAGTAAAAGGATCTATAAAGTGTAAGGTTCGACGTCCACTGTTTACCGCCGAACCAAAACACGTTACAGAAAGGGAAATCGTATACTTGTGGTTATATATATATATACTCAGTTGTTAAATAAAATATCTGAATAAAATAAAGTTTCATATTTTATTAATATCGAAAATAATCCACGACGGAGAGAATGGGTCTTGCAGGCTCTGTCACTGGTCTGTTCGGGTCCCCGGTAATGGTTGGTCTTACAGTATACAAACAAACTTTTGATAATAATCAGCTAATAATATATAATTCAACAGTTAAGTAACCCAGTGGTCCCTTATTTGGACTCTTTCAATAATCCCAATTTAAGGATATTATCACAATTTCACAGTATTCAACATCGACTTATCATCATAAAACATCTAAAACAAATATTAAATACAGAAAGCAACAATTTTACTCCCGTCACCCACAACCTTAGCACCGTCACCGGCAACCTTAGCACCGACCACCGTCACCGACAACCTTAATTATTTAGCACCGTCACCCACAACCTTAGCACCGTCACCGACAACCTTAATTATTTAGCACCGTCACCGACAACCTTAATTATTTAGCACCGTCACCCACAACCTTAGCACCGTCACCGACAACCTTAGCACCGTCACCGGCAACCTGATTTAGCACCGGCACCGACCACCTTAAATAAAAACAAAATTAAATATTATTATATACCGTATTTACTAACTTTCAACACTTGATTATAATTATCAGACATCTCTATTTGAATTTGCCGCTCTCTAACTTTTCCAACCCAACAATCTCTCGGTTCTGGTGTTGCTTTTTCTTTTATACTTCCGACTGACCAATGGCAGAGCTTGTTACATATTGTTTACCAATCGGCAACCATGGATCATACAAGGGAAGTTCCCGCAATGTTGATATTATTTGTAAACATGGAGTAATCTTCATCAATAAAGATGGTTTTCAACTTTAAATTTATTAGTAGATCATTAGAAGACATTAGTCTGGGTTTATTTTCAAACCAGGTAACTAACAAATGCAAATATTTCCTTTTGGTGCTAATATTTTAAGTGCGCAAATGAGAATTAAATCTCACGGAACAATTGTCAATCTTTATTTTAACACACCAATCTCTCCACGAGTCTTTCATGCAGTTTTAATTATATTTTATAGCCGATACCAATCTAGCGAACTAACGTGGATATTCTGTTTATTATGTCATAAACAAGTATGACGAGCTTTTGCCGTAAGGATACAGAGAAAATATGGAGGCCGTACGTGAAACAAAACTTCTTGACATACACAAATCTACTGTGTTTTAGTAATCACACCTTGAAACAACAGCCAAAATAACCAATTGTAGTTCTTATATTAGTTCCAACATTGAACCTCTCATTAACATCTACCCCTTATTCTCCATAATTTCAAGAAACTATCAAGACAAAGGTTTACTATAAAAAGGGGGGAAGGCCGGCATTACATTGCCCCCACCTTTAAGGATTTGGTCCCCAAATAAATTCGTCTGTAAGGCTTAATTTGACCACAACCAATTTATTCGTTTTGAAGAACATACAACTAAATTTTCACCAATACTTATTTTTCCGGTATATCATCCTACACAAACAGGACTTTAGTACTTTGATTTTTTTTTTTTTTATTATTGTATCTTCCAAAGACACAAATCACTACAATAATCAACAATAAACAATTAATAAATTAACAGTCCTCCTTCAATACATCAATATCCATTCATCTTGCACACACACATGTCATTAAGTCTCTCTTCAACAGCCACAATAAGTCCCGACAGCTGATAGTATTTAGCCTCTAGCATCAGTTCATGTAAATAGTTTGACTCCCTTGGAAGGTAACGTTTCTCTACATTACAGTTGTTGCGAAGGTAATTCAAAATGATTTTGAAGTGGGCTGGATCTCGATCAAAGAAATACACGTTCTTGGATGGCCTAAACGGACTTAAAGGTTGAAGCATTAAAGCAAAAACACATGACGGGTCAGCTCTTAGTGTAGTTTTGCTGGTTTCAAATCTCAACCCACCAATATTTAAAGTAATGATATTTTCTTGTGTGTCTTGTAACGTTTGCAAAAATGTTTCTACTTGCGCCGCGGAGGTACTCATAACTACAGTTCTATCTAATTTGGGAGCTTCTTCTATCACACTAATTTGTTCCACTGTCCTTTCTCTACCAATCTCTATGTTGTCTACCTCTTTCTTATCAACTTCCCCGGATTTGTTTCTGTCCGACTTATCTGACGAGGAGGATGAGGAAGAGGAACTGGATGAGCCTGATGAAGATGAAGAAGAGGATCTCTGTCTTGATGAGGTCTTTTCTTTTCTCTCCTTATCCAGACTGGATCTTTCAGTATCTGATACATGAATGTCTAGATCCAAATTAACAATTTTTTTCTCAGCTCTACTACGTTTACCCTCATCCTCAGAATCCAAGCAGATTGTGATATTGTCCCCTATTTCACTGGATAAATCTTGCAATACCGATCTTATTTTAGCCAATTTTCGTTCTTTGGTATCAAGTAGCAGTGGTATTTTAGCCTGACTTTGCCCCTGTATCTCATTTTCATTATCATTAACAGCAGTTCTGTCTCTTTTTCTTCCTTCTGTCTCGTCTTTCTTTGTTTCCACTCGGTTGTACGTTTTCTCTGATCTGTTGGTTCTCATGCTCCTGACTGATCCCTCAATACTATTTCTCCTTCTATAATTTAATATTGGAATTTCTTTCCCATCTGTATCTACCAGTTTTATTTTCTTGATTAACTCTTCAACTTTATATAATTCCATCTCTTCTTCTGCTTCTTTTCCTCTAGACCCGGTTTTGTTATTAAAACATAACATTTCCTTATCCGAGATCTTACATCCATGTGAAGAACTTCTCCTCTGGAAGATCTTCTTGCATTCTGGGCATTTCCAACCATAATCGCTATGCCTCTCTAATACATGCCTTTCTACCAGCCAACGTTTTTCAAAGCTCATATCATTACATACGGCACATATCCATTTGTTCTGAAAATACATAAAATGCACAATAATAAATCCAATGTTTGATTTATACTGATTCATAGAAGAAGCAATCTTGAAATAAATATGAATATTTAGTTACTTTTCTGTTTGTTTCAACAATTTGATGTCAACATTTAAGTTTATGTAGGCGTATAAATATATATACGTACATATATATACAAGTCTGAATTGAAACCAACGCTCAAACCTATGATTGTGTAGGATAAAAACCGCAATTATTTTATACGTGTGCATGCAAAAGTCTTGTTAGAGCCATACATTTTATTTACAGTATCTACTGTATTTTCTTCATCTTAATATGAGAAAATATAAACTTCATATCTACCAAAACTACCCTTTGCATTAACATATAAAACTAAACACTTTTTATTCCTATCTAAGGAAGATTAGAAATATAGACGAAAAGAAAACGAACATATTTATTATTCACGAAGCTCCAATAGTAACCATTCCTTCGTCACTATATTATATTAAACTATTAAACCTTTAGTCATCAAATAACATCACACTCGAAAAGTAGGTATATACTAACAATATTAAAGTCATATTTACAACAATCTGTCTAATTCCACACACAAAAAAAAAACTAACAACAACCAACCAATACAACTTATCAAAATAATCAAATTCTACGTCATACAGTCTACTGAAACCAAGTAGGCTTATTGTCACCGTCATAAAGTTTTAATTTGTCGTGATGGACAACTTTGGCCTGACTTTTTGGACTTTGTTTTATTCTATACAGTACGTCATTAAGCTTGGAAACAATCACATAAGGACCATGCCAAGGTCTCTGAAGTTTTGGATTTCTCCCAACTTTGCGCCGATATTGGTAGTACCATACCGGGTCACCCACCTTGTATTGATTTTGATGTATTTTATGATCATACACCTTCTTCATCGAATTACAAGATATATTCATATTTCTACGGGCTAGCTCATGAACAAGCGCTAGGGCCTGTTCCAACTCGTGTAAGTAATCCTCCGACGGTTGATGATTTAAATCATCGAATTTATTTAAAGGCCTTCCGAGAACAAGGTCGACCGGAAGATTAATATCACGTCCAAACATCATTTGACAAGGAGTAACACCAGTTGTCTCATGCTCCGATGAACGATAAGCCATCATAATAAGGGGAACATATTGATCCCAGTCCTTTTGGTGTACAGACACAAAAGAAGACAACATATTTTCTATCGTTCTCATGAAACGCTCCACCATACCATCAGACTGGGGCCGCATTACTGTGGTCCGAGTTTTATCAATATCTAAAATTCTACATAGTTCTCTAAATAATCGAGATTCAAAATTTGCTCCCTGGTCCGTATGTACTTGCATGGGTACACCAAATATTGTAATGAAGTTGTCAACAAAGCTTCTAGCCACCGTCTCTGCCTCTTGATTCCGAATAGGAATTGCCTGAATAAACTTTGTAAAGTAGTCTCCAATAACGAGTAAATACTTATTACCCTTATCAGAAGTTGGAAGAGGGCCCATTATATCAAGTGCGACCCTTTCAAGGGGGGCTCCAACGTTGTACTGGCGCATTGGTGCCTTTGGCTTTCGTATAGGCGCTTTTCTGCTAGCGCATATGTCACATTTGCGACACCAATTTTCTACATATTTACGAAGTCCAAACCAAAAGTATCGTTGTCGCACTTTACTCAGAGTCTTTTTAACCCCCAGATGACCACCCGTTGGACTATCGTGTAATTGTGCTAGAACAAATTTCTTTAAATTTTCTGGGATAACTATCTGCCAGGTAATCTCGTCCCCATTTTCATTCTCCCACTTTCTATATAGGACCCCATCTTTAATTACAAAAGAATCGAGTCTGTTCCAGTAGTGTTTAACTTCTGGACTAAATTTCGAGACAACAGACCACTCGGGTTTGTTGGTATTGTCTTTCCACTGACGTACAAGTGTTAAAATTGCGTCTTGTTTTTGTTCATTTTGTATATCCAAGTTCTGACCTAATGGATTATTAACCTCTGTGTTTATAATCTCATTGTTATTCAACTGACCATCTGTACTTTTCATACTTCTTGTTACAACACGTACTGTAGTACCCTTTTCACCCTCATTTACTGGTGATAACTTAGGTATTTTCTGTAGTAACCTAATATTTTTATCTGAATTTATTTTGTTTGATTTTGCACCCGAAAATTTATCAACCGACAGTGCCTTGTCTTGTATGTTTTCATTTGAGCGATCAATTTTGCCGCCGTACACGCATCTCTCATCAGTAAATGCCTCTTTGTGTACAACCTCGATTGGCAGTTTGCTACATGATTGCTCATAATTAATTTCTTTCAAATCTAAGGGACTGTTTGACACTGGTTCACCGACAGTTACTGAATCATTGTCTTGGGCTATTACCCCGACAACCGATATGCGTTCTGTGGTCTCTTTGCGTGAGCAGTGAGAACAATCGTCCCTACAGGGTCTTCGACTTAATGCGTCAGCATTGGAATGAACCCGTCCTGGTCTATGCACAATTGAAAAATTATAACTTCCTAGTATTTCCAACCAACGAGCCAACTGACCTTCTGGGTTTTTAAAATTCACTAGCCAGCGAAGTGACCCATGGTCAGTACGAACCGTAAATTTACGACCATACAAGTAATGATGAAAATTTTGGACCGCCCGAACAATGGCCAGAAGTTCTTTTCGTGTAATACAATAATTTCTCTCACATTTAGAAAAAGTTTTGCTATGGTAAGCGATGGGTCGTTCAAAACCGTCTTGCATTTGTGATAGTACTGCCCCCATACCAACAGCGCTAGCGTCACAATCCAGAATAAATTCTCCATTGTTTAATGGATAGCCCAGAACCGGGGCAGTTATTAACAAATCTTTTAGTTTTTCAAAGGCCTCTTGACAACCGTCAGACCAACTAAATCTCTTACCCTTTTCCGTTAATTGATGCAAAGGTTTAGCTATAGTGGCGAAATTTTTTACAAATCGCCTATAGTACGAACAGAGCCCAATAAATGATCTTACTTCCCGCACATTTTTAGGAACCGGCCAGTCGCGTACTGCTTTGATTTTTGAATCATCAGTACTTATCCCCTCTTGCGTAATATGGTGACCTAAGAAAGTGACCTCCTTTTGTGTTATAACACATTTACCAGGGTGTAACTTGAGATTTGATTCCCTTAGACGGTCACATACTTCACTTAAATTCCTTATGTGCTCGTCAAAGTCCTTTGAAAAGACGATAATATCGTCCAGATAAACTAAGCAAATTTTCCAAGTAAGCCCTGAAAATATTCGTTCCACCAACCGTTCGAAAGTGGCTGGTGCTCCACTTAGTCCAAAACATAATACTTTGAATTGCCATAACCCACTTCCAGGAATTGCAAAGGCAGTTTTCTCCCTGTCGCTTTCTTCAAGGCCGCACTGCCAATAACCAGACCTCATGTCTAAAGTGGAAAACCAGCTGTTCCCGCTCAGTGCGTCGAGCGTATCGTCTATTCTCGGAATAGGTTGGCAATCATTTAAAGTTAGAGAATTTAATTTACGAAAATCACAACAAAAGCGAATGCTTTGATCTGTTTTGGTTACCATGACAACAGGTGAACACCAAGCACTATTAGAGGGTTCAATGATACCCCGTGCCGACATTGTCTCAATTTCTTTTTGTGCAGCTTCGCGCTTCGCCAAGGGCAGTCGATAAGGCCTTTGCTTTATAGGTTTTGCATCCCCTGTATTTATCTTGTGTTTAATTAATTCAGTATAACCTATGTCTGAAGAAGATTTTGAGAAAACAACCTGATAAGAACACAAAAATTCTTTCAGTTGATCCCTATTTTCTTCTTTTTAAACCTACGGAACCCTTATTAAACACTTCAACCAAGTGTTCAGGTAGTTCACTATCAGATGTTCCCCTAACACAGTTCACCGAATTCTGTTGTTTATTACATGAGATAACCGTCTCTATTTCTACTGGTTCAAAAATGCCTGCTACCGTATTTTTATGAATTTTTACAGGTGTTTCGCTAAAATTAGCAATTCTTAATGGTATAAGGTTACTACTTTGCTGTACAACAGCCCTGGCTATCAATAGTCCAGTTTTTCCTAAAAAATTCTCATCAGTTTCAACAATTCCAACCGAATTGTATTTAACTCGACCACATGCTTTGCCTTTAATTATCATTTCACTCCGCGGCGGAACTTCAACAGTTTCCGCTACGGAGATTTTACAACACGAGGCCTCACCTCTGTTCGTGAAACAAGGAATAAACTCATCCTTAATTCGTAGACAACCCTTAGTAAAAAGGATATCCACATGATATTTGATCATAAAATCTGTTCCGAGAATTGCGGCATCCTTTATTTCCGCCAATAAAAATTCATGCTTGAACAACTGATTATCTAACATTATTTCTAAATTCACCTTCCCTAAAAATTCGGAAGCATCTCCCGTTGCGGTCAGTAAATTCATTCTAACGGGCGTAACTTGGGGTCGTAGTTCTGGTGCAATACTATCAAAAATATCTTTCTTTAATATTGACACACTTGCACCAGAATCAACTAGTGTAGGGACCTTTAATGAATTAATAGTAGCCAAAACAAAACAACCGTTCTCCTGACCCCAAGTAACGTTTGAAATGATAGTGTTGGGTCTTTTTACTGCTGCCGGGAATTGACCCTCGTTCCCGACATTTGCTCGTTTTCCGACCTACGGAATCCCCCTCTGTTATTGTTAAAATTTCTATTGAAATTATTTTGATTTCTTCTATGATTATTTTCTCCTCTGAATTGCTGGCCATTTAGATTTTTGATATTAACTACTTCGCTTGTCAAAGATTTAATGCCTTGTTTAATTTCATTAATTTCCCGTTTCAGACTATGATCTTGAACGGTTTCAGTATCGACCGTACGAACGTTACGACCTTTCTGTCTATCAGCAACTCGTAAGGCCTCAAGTCTCACGGCAATATTCTCGGCCTCATTGATTGATTTTGGTCCAACCTCCCTCAACCTGAGTCGTACTTCCGTCTCAGGTATTGCATCAATAAAATAATCTAAAGCTAACGTGTCCCTAACCAATGGAGAAGTGCCAGGATAAGCCCGACGTGTTAGTTTTTTTATAGCCTGAGCTAATTCAGGCAGAGTTTCATTTCTTAAACGTACTCGTGTTTGCAACTCTGCTCTAAATACTTCAGCTCTATTGACTGAACCAAACC